AACTCAGTAATTATACATTGTGGAAAAGTTTTATATGCCTCAAATGAATTTGTCCACAACACTGCATACTCAGTTAAACTACCTGATATAGCCGGTCACTCCCTTTAAAGGGACTGTAAGCGTAATTTCAGATGATCCACCATTCAAAGATGGCCATTCCCGATTCACAACGGTATCCTTGAAACCTTTATCTGATCATTATTGTGGAGTATATTGTCGTTTTTCTGGTGTTTATTTCTGATAATTAATTACCAAATGTTTTGTTGCATTAAAAATGCGCAGGTCACTTTCGTAGAGAAACCACAATTAAAAACAACCTAAAATTTAAATTACAAACATCAAAGTAATTATAATAATATAGTATATCAATTCATTCTTTATCAGGCAACGTATTTAAGGGTACCGTTGTAAATCGGCATGGAAGGTCACTTGAAATTACGCTTACTGTTTGTTCCATAAAGGAGTTTTGAGAATGTACTGTCAAAAGAAACCCTAATTGAGTGTGCGATTATTCGAATGTCAAGAAAACAGTTAAAACTTTAGAAAAAAGTAAAAAAAATGTTGTATTTACTGTCGCAGATGTTAAAGAATTATCTCTTTGCCACAAACTTAAATTTGCTAACCCCTATATTTGTCCAACCTGATAGTGTAAACCTTTGAAACTTCAACCTTAGATTATTCGAAATATCTAAGGTCTACGACATTGGGTTGCATAGATATAGGGGTTAGAAAAGAAGAGTTTGTTGCAAAAAATGCATTTTACCAAAAATACATCATAAGGTTTAGTTATCTTTTTTTTGACTGCAAGGCTAAAATTCGTCTCTTATATAATAAGTTTGCATAAATATGTTTGAGTAAAGATTTAATCATTGATCAGGGTTCAGATAGGATCAGGTTTACAAGATCATAGAGAATCTTGGATAAGAGATATTCCGGGGATATTCTAATGAATACAGGAGATAAACACACCCCTAGCTCCGGAGAATACAGAAGATAAACCTAACCCTATCACAGGAGAATACAGGAGAATACCGGAGAATACCGGAGAATACAGGAGAATACAGGAGAATACAGGAGAATACAGGAGAATACAGGAGAATACAGGAGAATACAGGAGAATATAGGAGAATACAGGAGAATACAGGAGAATACATGAGAATACAGGAGAATACAGGAGAATACAGAAGAATACAGGAGAATACAGGAGAACAACTAAAAAAGCGTGAAAAACACATAGAAAACTAGGACATTACCTTCTCAATGTAGTATATAGTTATATAGTATATATGAATATATAAACTACATAATGCATACCCCGAAAAGTCTGTTATCTATACAGATATTTGACCTGTTGTTAATTGGGCATAAATAGTTGCTAAAGTCTTCTCGAAATATATAAATTTAACAAAAAACCCTCGTCATTTCCAACCCCCCGGTAGGACAAGAGTTTACTACATCTTAAACAGTTTCTTCTCCTATACCTTTAACAATCTAAACTACTATTAAATAAAGTGCTTGCTTCTTGTTAGATAAAGATTTCAGGACTTCAATCTGAGGCTGCAAATAAACTCCTTAATCACAATTTTCTCTTATAATACCTCGCGTTTTTTTTCTAATCATCTTTTAACCTCCTTGACTCATGCCCCTGCTCATTGTCTTATTATCCCCTGTATCCCAGTCTTACTATCCCCCTGTATCCCTGTCTTACTATCCCCCTCTATCCTTGTGTTTCTATCCCCCTATATCCCTGCTGTACTATCCCCCTGTATCCCTGTCTTAATATCCCCCTGTATCCCTGTCTTACCCCCCTGTATCCCTGTGTTTATATCCCCTTGTATCCCTGTCTTACCCGTGTTTTTTTGCAAAACTAAGTTAAAGATAAAAAAGAAAGATATTGATTAAAAGCAGGATAAGAAATTTATATTTCCAAGAAGAATTCTAGTCTGAACTCTTTGAATCTTAAATAAAAATTCCTTAATTAATGGTGACTAACGTTCAACCAAAGATATTAATATGAGACGAAATAAGAAAAAAATGTAAAAAATTATCTAAAAATGTATGATATCTTTTTGATATAAATACGTGAGGATTAAACAACAAACAAGAAGATATCAAGAAGTGAAGCAAAAATCAGAAGATTAAAAGTGAAAGAAATGGGTCTGAAAGAAATAAGATAAAGAGATCAAAAGAAGCAAGACTTACAAATAGGGAAGAAAGTAACTAATCACTTGGTTCAATCTCTAATCATCTATTTCTTAAATGTTTGCAACTTGATGACGTAGATCAGTAAAATATCAAATTATGAATTGTGCTTGATCTAATAGTCAATGTGTAAACTATAAAAGGTTTACACCATCAGGTTGCAAAGCAATAGGGATACAAATATTAGAGTGAGAAATCACAGCAGAGAATTCTTTAATCGAGATCAAGCTTTGATCTCGATCTTTTGTTCATCTACCGATATCCAAAATCAAGAGATCAAGCAGATTCTGTGTAAAAATCAAAAGTTTCCAGCGTGGATATCGAGATCAAACTATCAGGATAATGGGTACCCAGCACAAAGTTCCCAGCTCAGATACAAGTAGATGGTAAGATGTAGGTAAGCAGAATGAGCATAAAGTTGAGGAGGAATGAAGCCGATCAATTTAAAGATTTAAAGAAAGGAGATCTAAAAAAATAATCGAAAATTCGATAAAATCCAGCGTAAACTAGAGCGTATTAATGAATACATTTAGAGAAGCGTCCTTGATTTTATAGTTTACTCCTAAACCGAGTAATCTAGGAGAAATATAGCATACTTATCTCTTCCCATGGCATTGGTTTAATTGTTTAATGAGATGTGCGCAATGCAGGTCTATACTGAACTTAGGCATAAACCAAACCTAATTACAGATTAAAATTACTTTCGAGATGATGTTTCGTCCTTGCCTGTCACATTTGATTTTTATGAAAATGTTCCTTTTCGAGACAAAATTTTCAACACTACTTGTTCTTAAACTTCATAATGTGCCCTAGCCGCAACACTACTTGTTCTTAAACTCCATAATGTGCCCTAACCGCAACACTACTTGTTATTAAACTCCATAATGTGCCCTAGCCGCAACACTACTTGTTCTTAAACTCCATAATGTGCCCTAGCCGCAACACTACTTGTTCTTAAACTCCATAATGTGCCCTAGCCGCAACGCACGGCCCCCTTTCTATCATAATCTCAATTGATTCGGGAAAGCTATGAAAAGGAAAAATTATTTTATTGAAAAAAGTTTATTAATTTTGGCCATAGTGCAAATGTCGAAATTCTGGTTTCGAATGAACCCTAGTATTCGAGTTCCCAGATCTGAGAGAAACTGTCAAATTGAAACCAGGATTGTAAGAGCTCGGTTAGGGTTGGATAAAGGATTGGATACATGAGACAAGTTTAACATATCAAGGTTTGAAACCAGCTAGGTTGCTTTGATTTATTGATTGATTCCCTATGCACAATTTGGTAAAGGTAATCCGTCACATAGAAAACCTTCCTTAGGAACTTTGAAAATGTTTGCAATTTACAAGATTGGCATTCGTCTCTTTGTGCTGTACAGTGCAGATTTAATTTAAACCAACACAATAATTTAGAATCGGAGAACAAAATGGAAAATGTTCAGAATTTTATTTTGAATTGGTTTCAGGTTAAGGGGACAGTAAGCGTAATTTCAAATGAACTCCAGGCAGAGATGTCAATGCAGAATTGAAAACGGTATCCTTGAAGTCCTTTAAACCTTTATCTGATTAATAATGTGGAAATATTGTTGTTATTCTATATTTGAATATATTTAATTATCACAATTTTTATTCGTTTTTCTCTATCATAATCATATTTGCATTGCAATCTTTTCATGGAAGGTCACTTGAAATTACTCTTACAGTCCCTTTAAGACCTCTCTCTATACATTCCGTTCTTGTACATCATGTTCAGGGCTAGAGTTTGTTTGGCAGGATTAGAAGAGATTATGTTAGATGATTAAACCCAGAGCTGAAAGAAATTATTTTATATGATTGTTGAAACCCAACAAGGACCCTTTAATGAGCAATCTCTTTAATGAGCAATCCCTTTAATGAGCAATCNTAACAATTATGATTAATATTTAAAAACAAGACTGATTTTTACATAGTTTTTTACAAATCTGATTTTTTACTTTAACAAAAATTATTATTTTAATTTCTCTCCCCCCACCCCCCTCCTCCAAACCCTCTATCCTTTCTAGATTTCTTTATAATTACATTTTGGTTAATAATTTGACATTGTTTAGGAACTACAAAGTATAAAAAACGGATTACTGTAAAGTTTAAAAAAATTATACTTTCTCCTTTCACATATATGGAGACATATGTAGAGAATACAAAGTTTGATTGTTTATATTTATTTTATCTGTGTTATATGACCCTGTAATATTCAGAGGTTTCTACAATAAATAAAGTGCATAAGAAACCAGATAACAGATTTATTTCATCGTTGGTCTCAAGTTTAATGATGTTCGATATCTTCGGCAGTTTTAAGTTTATTTTTATCATTAAATGGTGAAATATTATATAATCTAGGTGGCCTGGTGGATTGCCTGGATTTTACTAATAGTTTCCTATATTAGTTCCCACTCAGAAAATGGGGGGTATGGGAGGTACTCCCGCCTACAAATGTTGGGGGGGGGGGGGGTACCCCCCGCCTACAACTTCCCGTATACTAACAGTTTCCGTAATGCATGGTTTCTACAGAAAATCAAATTGAGGGATTATTATAGTCTAGAATAGCAATCTAAATAAAAGAACCTTAGAAGATATAGAAGAAGAACCAGGATAATAACAAGAAGAAGAACTTAAGCTAGAACTAGAAGAATATCCAGGATAATAACAAGAAGAAGTACTAGAACTAGAGCTAGAAATAGAAGAAGAACCAGGATAATAGCAAGAAGGAGAACTTAAACTAGAACTAGAAGAGGAACCAGGATAATAGCAAGAAGGAGAACTTAAGCTAGAACTAGAAGAGGAACCAGGATATTATCAAGAAGGAGACCTAAAACTAGAACTAGAAGAAGAACCTGCAGGATAATAGCAAGAAGGAAAACTTAAAATATAACTTGAAGAAGAACCAGGATAATAGCAAGAAAGAAAACTTAAACTAGAACTAGACGAAGAACCAGGATAATAGCAAGAAGGAGAACTTAAACTAGAACTAGAAGAAGAACCAGGATAATAACAAGAAGAAGAACTGAAACTAGAACTAGAAGAAGAACCAGGATAATAACAAGAAGGAGAACTTAAACTAGAACTAGAAGAAGAACCAGGATAATAGCAAGAAGGAGAACTTAAACTAGAACTAGAAGAAGAACCAGGATAATAACAAGAAGAAGAACTTAAAATATAGAACTAGAAGAAGAACCGTGATAATAACAATAAGGAGAACTTAAACTAGAACTAGAAGAAGAACCAAGATAATAACAAGAAGGAGAACTTAAACTACCAATAGAAAAAAGCCAGGATAATAGCAAGAACTAGAACTAGAACTAGAACTAGAGCTAGAACTAGAAGAAGTACTAGAACTAGACCAAGAACTAGAACTAGACCAAGAACTAGAACTAGAACAAGAAAGAGACACAGAACTAGAACTAGAGCTTAAACTAGATTTAGAAAAAGAACCAGGATAATAAAAAGAAGAAAAAATAGAACTAGAACTAAAACTAGAGCTAGAACTAGAAGAAGTACTAGAACTAGACCAAGAACTAGAACTAGAACAAGAAAGAGACACAGAACTAGAACCAGAACTAGAACTAGAACTAGAAGAAGAACCAGGATAATAGCAAGAAGGAGAACTAGAACCAGAACTAGAACTAGAACTAGAACTAGAACTAGAAGAAAAACCAGGATAATAGCAAGAAGGATAACTAGAACTAGAATTAGAAGAATAACCATGATAATAACAAGAAGGAGAACTAGAACTAGAAGTAGAACTAGAGCTAGAAGAAGAACCATGATAATAACAAGAAGAAGAACTAGAACCAGAACTGGAAGAAGAATCAGGATAAAAACAAGAACTAGAACTAGAAATAGAAGAAGAAAGAGGGAGAACTTTGGCTGGAACAGGAAAAGAGAACCGTGATGGTAAGATGAATGAGAATAAGGGGGTTGTGTACGTAGAAATTGATACAGGTAATGACGGGAAAACATAAAGAAAGACAAGAGGAATTCAAGTTTAAGAAAAATGAAAATTGAGGAAGGTAAGGATTAAACATATCATTAACGTAAGGGAGAGAAGGTTCGGCGTTATACGTGAAAATGGAGAAAGGGAAAGATAGAAAACTGAATGACATGAGGGGGAGGGGTCGGCATTATACGTGAAATTGAGGAAGGGAAAGATAGAAAACTCAAAGACATGAGGGGAGAGGTCGACATTTTCGTGAAATTGAGAAAGGGAAAGACAGGAAAAGAAAAAGAGAGAGAGAGACAAAAGCTGGAGGGTGGTAGGGGGGGGGGGGATTAAGAGGAAACAGGAATCAAATTTGAATTAACCGTGGGAGAGCGAAGTAGTTAACGCCATATTCGATCTTTACTTGAACAGAAGAATGATCTGATATTTCTACAAATATCAACAATAATTAAACAACAATGAAGTTAAAAGATTACAAAAAAATTACTACCGCGCGCTTATTTGCTAACTTTTGAATCTGATAATTCTACTGCTATAAATGTATAACATCAAGTTACCTGAAACTTTGTGGATTCTATAACTTATAACTTTTCAATGGTTTAACCTCACTGTAGAAATAAAAACTGTGCGGTGCGCTCTATGTCTCTAGGTGCCTCCGAACACTGGGACCAGGATCACTAGACTGGGAAGCTAATATCATGCTTTTCCCACACTCAACCCGGGCTGTCGTTACAGGTGGTAGGGAGAAGGGGGGGGGGAATATTCCCGGGTCCATTTTCATTGGTTCATGGTATTCTTGGGCCCTCTCTTAATGAACATTTCTCCGTTCTTATCCTGTGTATTCAAAAGCTTTGGATCTTTGGTCATCCTAAAACCTTATTCCAATACCTTCTAATCCTGTCGGAATTTATTCATTAAGATATATAAACTCCTAGCCTGAACCTACCCTAATCCTATCCTAAATATACTCCTAACCAGAACCTATCCTGATCCTATCCTAAATATAATCCTAACCTGAACCTATACTGATCCTATCCTAGATATACTTCTAACCTGAACCTATCCTGAACCTATCCTAGATATACTCCTAACCTGAACCTATCCTGATCCTATCCTAGATATACTTCTAACCTGGACCTATCCTGATCCTATCCTAGATATACTCCTAACCTGAACCTATCCTGAACCTATCCTAGATATACTCCTAACCTGAACCTATCCTCAACCTATCCTAATATAGTCCTAACCTAAACCTATCCTGAACCTATCCTAGATATATTCCTAACCTGAACCTATCCTTATCCTATTCTAGATATACTCCCATCCTGATCCTATCCTGATCCTTATCCTAGATATACTCCTAACCTGATCTTATCCTGATCCTATCCTAGATATACTCCTAACCTGAACCTGTCCTGATCCTATCCTAGACATACTCCTAACCTGAACCTATCCTGAACCTATCTTAGATATATTCCTAACCTGAACCTATCCTTATCCTATTCTAGATATACTCCCATCCTGATCCTATCCTGATCCTATCCTAGATATACTCCTCCTAATCTTATCCTAGATATACTCCTCCTGATCCTATACTAGATATACTCCTAACCTGAACCTATCCTCATCCTATTCTAGATATACTCCTATCCAGATCCTATTCTGATCCTATCCTAGATATACTCCTCCTGATCTTATCCTAGATATACTCCTCCTGATCCTATCATAGATATACTCCTAGCCTGAACCTTTCCTGGTCCTATCATAGATATACTCCTAACCTAAACCTATCCTTAACCTATCCTGGATATACTTCTAATCTAAACCTATCCTTAACCTATCCTAGATATACTCCTAATCTAAACCTATCCTAGATATTCTCCTAATCTAAACCTATCCAAGATATTCTCCTAATCTGAACCTATCTTGATCCAACCCTGAACCTCTCCAATATTCTCCCACCATTATTACTAATCAGGCACTGTCTTTACTCAACTGTTGATATGTTAATATTTTCTCATAATATCTTAGAAACCATCCACCCCTCTATTTTTCCATCCATCCACCCCTCTTTTTTTATAATCCATCCACCCATATTTGTTTTATCTATCCTCCCATCTTTGTTTTATCTATCCTCCCATTTATTAGTTTATCCAAATTCCCATTATCCATCCATCTGTATATATTTTTTCCATCAGTCAATTTATACCTTTGTTCATCCACCTTGGGATAAACTTTTTCACATATTCACTATATCTATACTTGGCTATCCTTTTTCTCTCGCTTTCATTCCAATAGTCATCCCTCTCATCTGATCCCTGTATCCAGCTAAACCTATCCCAGCTCATGTAAGGATGCCGTCTACTGGTTATTGTTGTGGTTTCGCATAATAATCTTTGGTTCTCAAGCTAGCTCTTCATCCGGCCATTCTCTTCTCTGCTCAATCTTCATGCTCCGTATTTTCACACTCATTACTTCTGTTTTTATTTCTTTTTGTATTAAGCACTCTTAACCTCCCCCCCCCACTCAAACCGTCTTTATTTTACCTTCCTCCACTCTCCTCTCTCCATATTTATCCCTCTGAAGTTTTTAGTTTGTAAGCCTACACTGTGAAAATAAAAACAGGTATCACCTATATTTGGGTCATTTTTATTCTAAATAAGATATGTGACAAAAACTGTTTTACTGGGCGCTGACAGCTTTTATCCTATTCGATTCTGTCCCGGTCTATATTCTATCACATCCTTACACATATTCTATCCTATTCTATCCCATCCTATCCATATCCTGTCCTATCCATATTCTATCCTGTCCTGGATTCTATATTCTATAGCGTCCCATCCATATTATATCCTGTCCTTTCGATATCCTGATTCATTCTATCCCATTCTTCCATAGCCTTACACAGTCTAACCCCTTACTATCCATATTTTAGTATATATGCTTTCCCATCAGGTTGCAAAGACGAAAGGATCAAAAAGGTACATTATTCTCAAGCAAAAATGTTCCGAAATAAATCAATTAATAAATCTGAAAGATGTTTCGTAACATTTTATAGATTATTGATGTCGTCATCTAACAATGAATCCAAAGTCAATTATTATGTTGCGTTTCTTATTTAAAACCGATCTAGTTGACACATAGAACCAATAATACAGAAAAAACACTAGACGTCGTCTTTTCAAGATTTTGGGGTTTTCCGTTCACAATAACCCTGTGGCAAGAAACAAAGGAGTTACGCGCATACCGCGTTGAATTACAAGACAGAGAGAGAGTATGCGCGAAACTCCTTTGGGCCTATGCCTCAGGGTTTTGTGAACGAAAAAACCCTAAATCGTGGAAAGACGACATCTAGTGTTCTATCTGTATTGTTATTAATCTAAACATATGACACATGCCGCGTCCGTATGTTTGATAACACAAACTGACGCTAGTTAGTTTTGTAAACATTGATGTTATTTTAACGAAGCGTGAAGATATAATAATTTTAGTACAATCCATTTCTATTGAATTCTATTAAATAAACAATCAGATTTTCTTTTTTTTTACCATTTTTCAGTCTAAAGAAATAGAGAAACTATACCAAAGCATTACATATCTTACTTTCAAAATATAGTTTAACAGAAAAAAATATAAAGATGTGAATATGTATACATAATCTATTACAAAAGTGGAATCGCTTCGGTTGAAAAGGGGTTGAGTACCCACAACATTGTGGAACGGCTTTTGGCCGAATAAACATAAAAGTTCTACACAGGGAGTAAGGAATAGAAGGGAGATATAACTGACGCGGTTCGCCCTACAGCTACTATTTGAGTATACATGCTTTGCAGACGGTACTTCATGTGTAAAAGAAATATTCAGAATAGGTTATTGTTTACGCGGTAATTGTACATCAGACAAATATTTCTTATTCAAATGAAGTACCGTCTGCAAAGCATGAATAATCATATGGTAGGGCGAACCGCGTCAGTTATATCTCCCTTCTTTTCCTTACTCCCTGGTTCTACATCAGAATTCAGAAGTAGACAATTTTCACCTTGAATATAGATATATATATCCTACTGTAGTAGAATTCTTGATAACATTTATTTTTAAATTCAAAATGCCTATTATTCTATTTTTTGGCTCCTTTTCTCAAAGTTAAGAAATATTTTTTGTTTATATATCAAATGTGCCTTTTTGATGCTAGCCAGTTGCTTAGTTATTTATAAAATTATCTTTAAATATTACTTGATACGACAAGTAGAAGTTTTTTAAGGGTACTAATTAATCGCCAAAAACTCTAATTTTCTAATCTTTAATCTTTTTCATCAGTAAACCTTTGATATTTTAAACTTTGACATTTTGATCTAGCATAATTCATAGTTTGAAATATCAAAGCTCTACGCCATCAGGGTGCAAAGGTATAAGGATTATAAAATTAGAGTTTGAGTTTTAGTTCTCAGTTTCATTGGTCAAAGCCCCCCGGGGCCTTTACGCTCCTACTAATTTCTCCCCGAGCAGAAATGAATTCGATGTTTTAAAGATTTCATTGACAGGTCAAGCAAATGTTTGTTCAATGGTTTCCGGGATTACTTGTGTAAATTGTTAAATTAATACGATATGTTGAAATAAAACAGTTTTTTCAAGTCTAGAATTTTTCACATTTAAGTTTCCCCAACTTGAAACACGTTCTTATTTTCATACCCTTGGTATCAAAACAACTCACCTCAGAATAGTTCCCAACCTACCACCTCCCATGGAGTTAAACTGCTCCAGGGAAAACCATTTCCTCTCTCAGCTTTTGTCAGTTATCACATTCTTGGTTTTATATTTGTTTCAGCAATTAGGGATTTCAATAGAAATCATTTGTCAAACTTTATTCTCTTTTGTCAACATCCAGACTCTGTATAATCTTTATTTGAATAAAATAATATTTGATCTAAAGTAATTGATACAATTTTAGAGTAATTGTAGTTATTGTGCCTTGCTGGCATATGGTTCCGCTTTAAGAAATTAGAGTAAGTATATAGAATGAGCAATAAAAAGATTTGCGTACACAAATGATCAAATGCGTCAGAGAAGAGAATCAGCAGATTTGCATTCATTTAGAATATAAACTTCATTTAAAAGAAAACTCGAAAAGGGAGGAATTGAATTTTTAAAATACACTGAAATTTTCTAATCTCTATATCTTTGCAATCTAATGGTGTAAACCTTTGATATTTCATGCTTATATTAATAGTTTAAAATATCAACGGTCTACAACAACAACGGCTTGCAAAGATATAAAGGGATTGGAAGATTTGAGTTTGTGACAAAGACTTAATTCCTTTACGTTCTGCATTATAAAACATATTTATTTCAGTTTACAGAAACTTCAATTTGATCCAGTAATTGGTTAAGGACCGAATTTAATGACTTTGAGCTAGGTCGCTAAACTACTTGCCGCCGTGGAGTTTACATCTATAGGTCATGGACAAAACTGAAATTACCGATTCAAGATACTGGGTTGAACCGTCTCTATACCTAGCTCAATTTCATCTTATTTGGTCCACGGTCGCAGTTTACTTAATTTTATTTAAATTCTTAATTCTTATTCTGCTTTTTTGTTTGTCATACTATTATCATGGTGATGGTTCGTTCAATCATTCAGATTTAAAGCTGTGGGTGATAAAAAAAAT